TGACGCGAGTGAGTATGGCCTCAGCGCAGTGCTGACGCAGACGATTGATGGACAAGAGCGAGTGATAGCGTACGCGAGCCGGAAGTTGCTGAAGGCCGAGGTAAACTATTCCGTCACTGAGAAAGAGTGCCTGGCAATAGTGTGGTCGATCCGGAAGTTGCGCTGCTACTTAGAGGGGTACCGGTTCGACGTGATAACTGACCATCTGGCACTCAAGTGGCTCAACTCGATCGAGAGTCCGTCCGGAAGAATCGCGCGATGGGCGTTAAAACTGCAACAGTTCCAATTTGACGTCCATTATCGTCGAGGGAAGCTCAACGTCGTGGCCGATGCGCTATCGAGGCATCCTCTAGAGACCTGTCAGCAAGCAGCGGTGGCCGAGGCTCCCTGCAAATGGGTCGCGAGTATGCGTGCCAGAATCCCCGAAGAGCCAGCCAAGTTCCCGGATTACACCGAAGAAAACGGACAGTTATATAGGCATTTGGGCCATCGGACAGACGACGAGGACTATATCCCCTGGAAACTATGCGTAGGCAGTAGTCAACGCCAGAGGATACTGCGGGAATGTCATGATGCTCCCACAGCCGGACATCAAGTTGTTAGAAAAGCGGTGTCGACGTTAGCCCAGCGGTACTACTGGCCGGGTATGTTCCGCGATGCAGCAAAATACGTGAGATGTTGCGAAGACTGCCAAAAACTCAAGAGTGAGCAACTCAAACCGGCTGGTCGCATACTGACGAGACAGGTGGCAGAGCCGATGGCGGTACTTTGCGCGGATTTCGTCGGACCCCTTCCACGGTCGAGACATGGCAACACGATGCTACTGGTGTTCCATGACGCTTTCTCGAAGTGGGTGGAATTGGTCCCTCTCAGAAGAGCCACAGCGGCACACTTACAGACCGCGTTTCGAGAAAGGATTCTAAGTAGGTTCGGGGTACCTAGGAAGTTCGTGTGCGACAACGGAGTACAGTTTACGAGCCGGAGTTTCAAGTCATTTTTGGGGTCCCTGGGTGTAGAGATCCAGTATACCGCCCCGTACTGTCCGCAAGAGAATCCCACCGAGAGGACCAACCGGACTATAAAGACCATGATAGCGCAATTTATCGAGGGCCATCAGAGTTCATGGGACGAGCTTTTGCCCGAGATATCGCTAGCGGTCAACACCAGCGTGGCGGACTCAACGGGATTTAGTCCTGCTTTCCTGATGCAGGGCAGGGAACCTCGGTTACCCGCAGCTCTGTACGATCAGGTAACTCCGGGGTCCGCAACAAGTGCGCTCGACCCTAGGACTAAGGCGGATAGGTTAAAAGAAATCTTTTATATCGTCCACAGCAACCTCCAGCGAGCATCAAAGGACCAGAGCAGGCATTACAACTTGCGAAGACGAGAGTGGCGGACGTTGGACTCGATGGTCCTGTTCAGGCAGCACCAGTTGTCCAACGCTGCCGAAGGTTTCGCCGCAAAGTTGGCACCCCATGTCCCCCAATATTGTACGGCTGGTGAAATCAGGCGAGCATAAGAAGAGCATAACGAATAAGTTAACAAATAAGCTGAATTTACAGCTGGAACCCGAAATTATCAGCATCTCGTCAGACGAAGACGTCAGCAGCGGAGACACCGAGCCTTTCCCCGGGCCTAGAGCCGGAGGCCGCCCGCGTGACCCCCACCGGGGGCGCGAGTACTACCAAAGAGGGCGGCAAGAGGGGCCACCTCACCAGTTCCGCCATACCCTATACTCCCGGCGGACCAACGTCATGGAAAGGCTGGACGGGATGGTCATGCTAATGGCAGTCGAGGTCACGACAATGTTCGTGGAGGCGCCATTCGCGCGAAACTCGCCACCGTACGCGGAAGAGCCCCCATCTCCGCCTCTCGCATCCCACTCGGCACAGTCATCAGGGCCGGCAACCCCAACCACGACCGGCGAGATGGACGAGGAAGAGTCAATACCGCTCGAAACGGGGAAGCACACACCACCAGTGCAGGAGGTCGGGGCGGTAGAGGCGGCAGGAGAAGAAATCTCCCCGTCGGCCGGAGACACGGAGTCGCCAACGACGGAGGCGCCGAGCGGAGTCCGATCAGACAGCTGGGAAACAGACTACCGCCAAGCCGCGGTCCAGAACCCTTAGCGGGAAGGGACCCAACAAGAGGACGAGGAAGACGAACCGGCATTCCGTCGCCGCTTCGCCACCCACCGTCTGGAGGTAGATCCGGACAGCCAGTTTCCCTGGATACCGCTGCGCTACCTACCGAAAGTTCCCGTGGAAACCGACAAACCCCATCCTAACCTAACAATGCTCGAATGGGGGGGTACCGAGGAAGGCCCAAGCGGAAAGCGCCGACGCAGCCGCCATCGCCGACGGAGAACAACCCGGGGCAAGCGCCGCCGGAGTGGAAGCCAACGCCGACCAAGCCCCGAGGGAGTGTCGACGTCGGCCACAAAGAGGTTTCGTCCGGAAACCGCGAAGACAGGAGGATCGCAGCCGCGCGTGCCGCGTTCGCCCCGCGAGCGCCCGAAGGGTCCTTCCCCGTTCGGGAAGGATAACCGCAGCTGCAAGGCCGCTCCTCTAGTAGGACATCCCGAACCATGGCTGACGCCGATTACGGTCTGCCAGATGTTCGTGGAAGAACGCCGTTCCAACTACGAGGACGAGATGCCCGCGCTCGCGCCCACTACACGCGCTGAGACGCCCGATTCAACCTCTCGAGCGGGGTTTGAGAATGCGTGGTTCGACCACGAGGACGAGATGCCCGCGCTCCTATCCATTACACGCGCCGAGACGCCCGACACTACCTCTCGAAGGGAATTGGAGGAAGCATGGTTCGGCCAGGAAAGCAAGGCGCCGTCCCTAGAAGCTTACTTTGCAACTCGCCAGGAGGACAGGGGTGAAGTGTGATCAGAGGAAGAGAACTCGGTGGTAACGGCTTCGTCACCCAAGCCTTATAGTTCGACCGAGGACCCTTCGCTTACGCTTCGAAAGACTCCCACGGAGAGCGAATTGTGGGATGATATCGTGGACCTTTTCGACGGTATCGACGGGTGGGATACCAGTCTGGATTCGGTGCTGGAAGAGGAACCCGACACCAAGGTCGAGACGGTCGCCCGCAGTGCCGACGTTGAGGTCACGCCGGAGAGCCCCGCCAAGGAACCCGAGCCCGATTCCACCCCCTTGGGCTGGAAAGTGTTTCCTCGCGGAACACCGTTGTCGTCGGGCGTGGTGGAACTAAACGCAAGAGAGACGCGGTTCCGCCGGTTCCGATGCCGACGCACTCGTTTCCACGTATCCGACGGGGAGCGCGACTACAGCGTTACGTTGAACGCGAGAGGCGACGTTACCGTCACCTGCTCGAAGTGAGGGGGGTTGTGAGGCGGCTACTGAGGTCCGCCGCCCCACAGTTTTCACGGCGAGGAGCCATCGTTCCCATGGCCAAATCACGGCAAGGAGCCGCTGGCGGGACAACCCAATAATTTGTTTATAAGTCTTAATGGTACTAGCTATATAAGAGGCAAGAAGCTGCCGATGTTACAAGTAGTAGTTGTGTTAGTTATATAAGAGGCAAGGAGCCAACAATAGTACAAGTAGTTGTATTAGTTATATAAGAGGCAAGGAGCCAACAATATTATAAGTAGTTGTACTCGTTATATAAGAGGCAAGGAGCCGCCAATGTTATAAGCCTCAGTTGTATAAGTTATATTATAATCATCAATTGTATTAGTGAGTAAAGAGGCAAGGAGCCACGAATGTATTAAGAGCGAATTTGAATTTAACCGCCGGCCGCCGCTGCAACCGTGCATTGTCGATCGGCTGTTCAACACCGTCTTCGAGAGCGCATCTTCAATTCGGCGGCGAAGAGCAAAAGCTCCGAGGAGAAGTTATGAAAGCTCGCGGCGGAGTTGGGCGGCCGAGGCAAGCGCATGGCTTGCCGGCGAGCGCGCCGGCACTTTGGAACGAACGCTAAGGGTGAGTAGACGTGCATCGCGAGACGAGAAAGATCATAGAGTGTATAGCGGAGCGCTAGGGCTCCAAAAACAGTGCGGCAGGGTTTAGATCGTGAGTTACTATAAAGTAGTAATAAGCAAGAAGTGAATAAAGTGCATATGTTGTAATTATCGAGAGGAAACTGGCTAGTTCTTTGTTTTCTGGTAACCCGGCTTGCCTTAACATCGGAGTTAACCGATGTTCGACCTAACCTAGAGTAGAAGCATGTGGTACGGGATTGTGGCCCCGGGGTGGGCATTACTGGTTGGTGTTTGGATAGTGTAGTTGGTACGAGGCCACGGCCCGATAGAGTAGTGGTACGAGGCCACGGCCCGATAGTGTAGTTGGTGCGAGGCCACGGCCCGATAGAGTAGCGGTACGAGGCCACGGCCCGATAGTGTAGTTGGTGCGAGGCCACGGCCCGATAGAGTAGTGGTACGAGGCCCCGGCCCGATAGGGTAGTTGGTACGAGGCCACGACCCGACAGTGTAGTTGGTGCGAGGCCACGGCCCGATAGTGTAGTTGGTACGAGGCCACGGCCCGAAGGAGTAATTAGGGTGAGGCCACGGTCCGGTAGTATAGGTGTGCAGAAACCGAGTTAGGCATGGTTAGGTCAGGATACTCACCCCCCTTCCCCCTTAAGCCCTCTCTCCCAGCGAAATTATAAATATCTTGTAACTCGCTAGACCTGGTAAGACTGAGAGTTATACCCCGGCCAGTAGCTTCTTTACAAGACTTAAAAAAACTGGCTGGTCAATTTGCTTAAATTTGATGCGTAAGGTATTGAGGGCCATTATCTCTAAGAAAAAATAATAGGCTTCAAGTGCAAGGCTAATTTTTTACGGTCATTTTGTATGCTGCTGCACTGTTGTACAAATATCTTAGAAATGTGCTGATCGGTTTCTATAATTTTTTCAAGAATGGTTAGGTGCAACTATAGGCTTTAATAGTGTTTAAGAGGTATTCGGGGCCATTATCCCCGAATTAAAATATTTGTTACGAAACTGCTTGTTTCTCTTTGGGCCGCGCCGGCTGGCTCATCGCTTTTCTGGGTGTAGTCTCATTTCTGGCCCGCAGTTCGCACAATCGATATCAACAACTAGAACATCTGAAGCAAAACAGACCTACACTACACTATCCAAAACGAACTACATAACCGGTATCGGACCCAGCGTACCCGACCTTTCTGAGACGATCACCTGATCTCGTCTCCCTCATTTTGGCCACTAGATGGCCTTCATCTGCCCGTGTCGGCAGTAATGCCCCCTCTACCCATCAATGGATATTAAGCCGGACATCGTTTTCCTTCAGTATGTGCGTATGATTGGTTGCATTTCTTATAGTTATTAACGATCAATATCTCTTATCTCATTTATTATTACAGGATATCCTCACTCTGCTATTTATGATTCTGTGCAAGCTGACATTTCTCTCATTTCAACAGGTGCGTATAATTATTTGCATTATCTTATAATTATTGACAATTAATATTAATTTCTAAAATCTCATTTTTTTAGAACAACAACAAAGAAAGGGCTTCACTGAAAGCTTTTGCTAACCGCCGCTGGGAACCTCGTTGAAAGGAAAATTTATATATGTATCTTAATTTGTGCGATTGACTCTCAACATATTCATGTTCGTATATACTAGGGATGATTGGTACTGTTATTTCTGTGTCACAGTGACAACTGTGACAGTTACAAAAAAATACCAGTGACAAATAATAGCGACTGTTACTCGACTTGTGGGCGCGGCGTTTCTTATAAAAAAAATCTATATAAAAAAATAAACAAATAAAATTTAATAATGTTATGCTCTATAAAAAATTTTTTTTGTATACCCTGAACCCATTAAAAATGGGTAAAAAGGGTATAATGTATTTGTGCAAATGTATGTAACAGGCATCGCCGACCCCATAAAGTATATATATTCTTGATCAGCATCAACAGCCGAGTCGATCTAGCCATGTCCGTCTGTCTGTCTGCCCGTCCGTCCGTCCGTCTATCCGTCAGTCCGTCCGTCCGTATGTATGAACGCAAGGATCTTAAAACCCATAAGAGTTAGAGACTTGATAACTGTAGGTCCTCCGCAGATTGAGTTTGTTTCCGATATTCGCAGTTATGGTAAATAATAAGAGCTAGAGTCGGCAAACTTGACATGTAGCTTCTAGAATAGTATATATATAAAAGTATCTTTCATTTTATAGCTCATTTTTTCCTCATTAAGACTCAATAAGGTAGTGCAGACTGCTGCACACAAGCTCATAAATGCTTCTATTCATATACAAAATATGCAAGAATGCGTGAATAGCAAGTCCAAAAACTTTTAAATGCACACATGCCAACGCTTAGGTACCCTTTCGAACAAGAACGAGCTAAAATTAAAGAATTTCGCATTGACTTGGCAAACCCTTTCATTATTTCATATTACTCGTCCCGTCAAAAGGGAAGAAATGCCACCGACTTTTGAGAAAAATTGAATTTGTGGGCATTTTTGCTTGTGCGGACACATATACACACAAACATTTAAACGGTACCTAGACATAAAGAGAGCATTGACAGCACTGAGAGTAACTGCGAGCGAGAAAAAAATAAACAGCGATGCCGTTCTATCGCACAAATCATATGGAAGAGAGTAAGCCAAAGCAGTTTCCTGTAGTGTAAGCGATCAAAAGACATCATATGTATATCTTACTCGCTCGTTGGACCAGATGCACCGATATTTTTTGTGTCCACTTTGGTAACACGGCATGTCCCATCTATAGTGCCAGTACTCAGCTCTTCGAAGAGGCACAGTACTCAGCTATTTGAAGAGTACGAAATGAACAACCTGAGTACAGAACCTGTTATTAAGACTTCAAATATACAACAATAATACGCAAGCAGCAACAAGACAGCAACCCCAAAAATTAAAAAACTGCAAGTTTTTGAAATGTATAAAATATGCTGAAAAGTTAATCTTACATTATATTAATATATATATCTATAACATATCTATAACATTGTTCCAGTCATTTGACATATCGTCGTTACAATCTCTTAGTGAAATTTTTGGTGTCAATCTTTTCAGTAAACAACGACCAACAAGTAGACCCTTGCTTTACTATTCGTGAACGACATAGGATGATTTTTTATCGCTGTTACTTTTGAAAGGTGTAACAGCTGAAACTAGTTTCTTTTGAATACAAATGGTATGATGGAAATATTCTTACATATAAAAATTTATACGAATTAAATCACATAAATACACTTAGCCTACCTAAAGAGCTCTCTGGTGTGTTAAGGGCGATGTAAGTAAATGATTTTTTTTTATATATGTTGATACTAGCGGGTATAACCCGGCCTTGCCCGTGGCACGTATGTTATAAAATCAATGTTCTCAAACAAATTTGAAATGATTTTGAAACTGATCGGACGGTAAACAAATAACTTTCATACAAACGTTTTCCGCTAATTTACCACTGTTGCGAGTGGAATTTCCCAAATCGCTGAAATACGTATCTATTAAGTTCTTATGTAGAATTTTGAATATAAGTTCGAAGCACATCGGACACAACTTAAAGCTTCGCCCAAAAAATCTTTAAATCGCATTCCCCCCGAAGAAGTTTGAATTCTGCGAAAAGTGGGAAACACGTCTCAAGTGATTTTTCTTATAGATCTCTGGAAATGAATTTGAGCGCGAAATGTCACCCACCAAATCTTTGACCTCCATTTCCACCAAGGAGGAACGGATTTTTCGAAAAGTGTGAAACACCCCCAAAATGAATTTGAACAAAGATCTTTGAAAATAAGTTTGGGGCCGATCGGATGGTAAACAAAAAACTTTCATACAACCGTTTTCCGCCAATTTACCACTGTTGCGGGTAGAATTTCCCAAATCGCTGAAATACGTATCTATTAAGTTCTTATGTAGAGCTTTGAAAATAAGTTTGAAGCACATCGGACACAACTTAAAGCTTCGCCCAAAAAATCTTTAAATCGCATTCCCCCCGAAGAAGTTTGAATTCTGCGAAAAGTGTGAAACACGTATCAAATGATTTTTCTTATAGAACTCTGGAAATGAATTTGAGCGCGAAACGTCACCCACCAAATCTTTGACCTCCATTTCCACCAAGGAGGAAAAGATTTTCCTAAAAGTGTGAAACACCCCTCAAATGAATTTGAACAAAGATCTTTGAAAATAAGTTTGAGGCCGATCCGATGGTAAACAAAAAAGTTACATACAAACGTTTTTCGCGATTTTTCCACACTTGCGGGTGGAATTTCCCGAAACCCCGTCTTAACGTGCACCTACTTCACATAAGGTAGCTACAGTGAAAATTTCAGCTTCCTAGCTCTTACGGTTTGGGCTGTGCGTTGATCACCAATCAGTCAGTCAGTCAGTCAGTCAGTCAGTCAGTCAGTCAGGACAAACAGTTTTATATATAGTGATATGTATGGATGGTGTGGAATTCAAAACAACTTCCCCCACTTTTTTCTTTCTTTTTTTAGGTTTCCCTAGCATTGGCCTTAGCCTTTGGGTCCTCCGCTTCCTTGGCAAGCTGTTAAATATATGCATGCCCTTTTTTTCAAATAAAATATTAATGTATAGAGAAGGCAAAAACAAACTATTCTTAATCATACAACTATCTCTTGTTCTTATTTTAGCAACTCAAATGGGACCCAGAGTTGGACCGCCCTTCGGGCTGCCTGGTCCCTGCCTCTAGGATGGGGTGGTAAAACGCTCTTGGAACGGACTCACTCGATACAGTGGGCGTGGTCTCGCCGGTGGCCGCTTCTTTGCCTATCCTCCGCCTGGCTCCGGTGATAAGTGCGCCGTTGAGAAGTAACCTGGCCTAGGTGGTGACCTGCAGGATTCCCTGGTTCGAGAGCTGCTTAGACGGCCTGACGTCTTCCGTGGGGATACTTCGTTGCCGGAACCGTCTGTCGTTTTTCTTTTATTTGTCAGCTCAGCTTTTATTTATGTGTTTCGTATCGCATGTATGTATAAAGCTTACATTTCAATACCTCGGCACAACTAATTTTACACGGGCTATTTATTTTGTTATTGTAGTATCATTTTGAGGCTGGGCTGAGTACTAAATGTGCTAATACATTTTTTGTGCACGACACGTAGTTGTTCTTTTAATGTTCCACCACGAAATTATACACTCGTGTGTATTATATATAAACGATAAGGGACGTATTATTTTGCCAAACTTTTCCAGACGTTTTCTAGCAGGTCTCGCAAGATATAATATATATAGCCTTAATTTTCGTTTCGAGTGGCCGAAAATTATAAAACGGTGCGCTTGCGCACTACCCGACCGTGTTGTACCGCCTCTCAAAGTCGTCTCCCTCGGCTGTACATTTGGGCAGAAACATCATAGGTGCCGAAATTCGGCACACGCGTACATTTAACGGTAGTGACCATTGCTGCTCATACGCACAGCTGCAGTTTTGGGTCAACGGCCCAGATGAGGGCCAAGGGCATGCGATCCGCTCTCCTTCTACTCTCTTTAGGAGCGAATCGGGTGGGCAATCGCAATCGCCCTCTTTCGTTCCCCTTTCGGCGCAGTGGAACAGCAAGCCGGGCGTTGCCACTCTTCAATTGATTGGGCGCCACTATGTGCCGACTTCACCCCCGATACTCTGCCAATATGACAAAAAGATATCAGCGAGGCCGATAATACCGCAATCAAAACAAAATAGAATATCTCCGCTAATTATTTTGTCTACATCTCAAAAAATTTAACTAACCAATCTCATTGAACAGTTAGTTAAAAATACTATTAATCCGGTCATAGAGGAAGATGATGAGATGTAAAATAGATTTAAGCACAAATTTGTCCCTTTCCGAGAAGGTACCAGTCATTGCAAAATGTCTCAGGGAATTTCCAGGGAAAGCAAGTGAGTTTCACTTATGGAGAAAATCAGTAGACAGCATAAGCCAAATATATACACTAAAATACTTTGCCATTTTGCATACAATCAGACATAAGATTATCGGAGAAGTCGATACTGCACTAGAGTCGAATCGTACGCCTCTCAACTGTGCAAAAATCAGACATTGCCATATGCAACATTACGCAGACAAACGAGATATTGGTACTGTCTGGCTACGCAGCCAAAACAGCTTGAGCGACCTCGCCACTGATAAGTGCAGCATCGTCTTATTATCTTGTAATACTTGCTCTGCGAAGCAACTGCTTAAATTTCGCTCTTAAGATTATTTACATTAAGCTGGCGCTCTTCGCTGTAACGATCAATTATTGCCCTAACATTACCTTTTGCGAAAGCCTCGATGCTGTGCGTCGAGTTTTAGTTAAGTTCGTTCGCTTCGTGCATTTGGTACGCATCGGCCACTTGCATTATAAAAACATATTAATTTGTCGCAATTGTCGCATCGCTTAAATCGGCGGCACGTACCAATTCGGATTCGCTTGCCTACAAAACCTATTGTTTTTGAATAATAAACACAGACCAATCCGGGTCTGCCTGCTTATCGTAACTTATAATAAATTTACAAACAAATTTGAACACAAGAAACAAAATAAAGTTATTTATTTATATTTGTGAAAGTTATTGAAAAAGCTCAATAGCGCAACATTTTGGTGACCCCGACGTGATTTTTGTTGTTGTTACATTATTGCTTTACATTAAAGCAACAAACTTAAAAGATCAGCAACCTGACATTTCGTTTTGTGCGGCTTTTGTACATATAAGCAAACCGTCGCTTTGCTTACTCTCTCGGTCGCTCAAAGTTTTTTGT